GTATGGCCACAGAGTCATCACCTATTAATAGGGTCAAGATGCTTCCTTAATCCTAAGATGACTTCTAGATCTAGTCACGTCTCGGTATCCAACAGCCATACGGAGCGGCAGACCAGAAAAACACCGCTCAGAACTCTACCATAGAGAAGTTGTGGTACAGGATCATGGGAAATCACTCGGAATCTCGATACATCGACAGTAGAATAAAACACCAACTACATAACCAAGCTGTTTAAGCGCAAACTAACTTGATGCTGACCAATTATGCTCTTGTATGCCAGAAGCAAGCTAGAATATATCCGGCCGTATCTACAACTACGTTTATCGAATTCATCAAAAGAGAGGAACAAGTATGTACCCCACATAGCACTCCACAGTACCAGCGCTTTGGACAACCAAATGATAGAACACCCACATATGTGCTTCAAGCGCATCCAATATCCCCAAGGGCACACAAACCCCCAAGCACTCACACACACCAATTACCCCGCCATTAATTCCGCCTAAAACAGCATCCCAGCAGCATCCACACGACCCCATTAAAAACACCCACCTGGAGCATTCTGCATGTGCCAATGTCTAGGGAGAAGAAAAAAAACCTCCGAGATAAAAAAATTACCGAGGCTTCTTGGCGCAGATCTGTCGGAACAAATTGTGGGGTTTCCGGTCGGCGTGCATCATTGAGCGGATGATCTGCATAGCTAGCTGCGATTTGACAGAGAGTACCGTTATTGAGGATCTGGCACAAGGGACTGGACTTGGATTGGGCTGGTTGATCGTGAGGATGGGTTGTGAGGAGAGTGTTTTGGTGTTATTGGTGATGGTTCGATGGATGTCTTTTCTTGTGTCGGTGGAAATGTTTCTAAACGGGATAGGTTTGATGAGTTTTAGTTCATGATTCTGTTGGATTAGGAATACTCACTCACTGGCTTGATATCGGATACATGGCAATACTTCTAGTAGCTATAACAAACTCTTCAGGTCAACTGTAACCCTACTCCAAATCCCAATACCATGAACCTCCACTACTGCAACGTGTATATTACCACTGCAACCCAGAATCTTATCCTACCAGCCTACCCCTCTTCCCACGATACTGGCCGGTGGAGCCAACGCAGAGCAACTCCAATTATAGAACCAGCCTCGGCAAAACTAGAACCTCAAGTACGCACATCCATCCAAAGACCAAACGACCGAGGGAGAATAGTCGAATTAGTCCATACATGGGCAGTAAATATCCTTACTGCGGCACGAAATGCAGGGATCAGTAGAACAGGGCCGTCCCCCCGGGGCGGTTTCAACAGCACCCCGTAGGCACTGAACACAGGCACCATTCCAAGATTTTCATTCCATACCTCTTCTAGTTACCTCGGAGTTCTGTTTTTGAAACTCTGGTACGCAGATTCGTCCCTCGGCTGAAACATCGTCGCCTCAACGACCACGATCTGCAGACCAGGTACCCCTGTCTCGCTAACCTTAATCCGAGAGTTTATATTACTGCAGCGGGGATTCGGATAACTGGAGCTGGGACATCGTTGGTATTGCTAAACACCGCGATATATGTGCATACATAGCTAAACACCATGGTGGAGCAGAACTTGCGATGTATTCCAGGCTCCTGGTAAGTGTTGCCTGGAAGCTGTCTCCGTCTGCGGTGCCGAAGGGGGGTTTCTGCCTCGGCTTTTTTTTGAGATTGGAGCTGTAGAGATAGAGCTAGAGACAACGTTGGAATTAATTTTAATGTGTAAATTTGAGGGAAAGGGATAAGTGATAGCTAGTTAGTAAAGAGCTTCCAGAGTTCCATAAAAGGCCCGCTTCTCCCATCTAGCTACTCTCATCCAGCCAACAGCAATAACTCAATCAACTCACTCAAAACATCACCGGCCTCAATCATTCTTCGCAACATGAAGCAGTCAACTCTGATCGCCCTTGCATTTGCTGCCTTTACCAGTGCTACTCCTCTCCTCGAGACCCGCGCCGATTGTGCCCCCGTCCACATCATAGCTGCTCGTGCCTCCACTGAAGCCGCCGGTCCTGGTATCATTGGTGATGTCATGGATGATGTTGTCAGTCAGAGTTCTCAGACAATAACTACTGCATCCGTCGACTACCCTGCCACCTTAACCGACTACGCAGCATCTTCTGCTTCTGGAACTGCAGCGTTGAAGACAATGCTTACGAACCAGGTTGCAGCCTGCCCCAACCAGAAAATCGTGCTTATGGGCTACTCCCAGGGTGCACATGTCATTGGAGATACTTTGGGTGGTGGTGGAGGGCCGACTGTCTTGTTGGGTGCAAAGACTGCTCCGGTTGCAACTAGCGTTTCTGACAAAGGTTAGTATAAAACTTAACCTAGCCCAGATAGCTTTGAATGGCTCTTGCTGACTTTCTTTAATGTAGTTGTGGCAGTCGTCCTCATGGGAGATCCCCGCCATGTTGCTGGCGAAAGCTTCCAAGAAGGGACCGCAACTTTGCTGAAAGGTCTCTTTCCACGCGGTAGCGACCAGTCCCTCGAATCCTTTTCCAGCAAGATCCACTCATTCTGCGACATTGGCGATCTCTTCTGCGCTAGTGGAACAAGCACGCTCATCCATTTGGCGTACGTCACCAAGTACGGTAGTGAGGCTGTGGACTTTGTCTTGGGAAAGATCGGCAACTAGAGTCGATTTATATGTGGGTACCGGTGAGAGCGGTATGAGTTATGAACGTAGTTGCAGAGTTGGGGAGAAAACTATGAGTTGAGAGCGTTGGTTATTTTTGGATGATTTTATGTATTTATGGAGCTGGAATCTCCGAAAATGAATTTAAAAAAGTTGAATACCGGTAAACTTGGTGTGTTCGCATGTTCTGGATCGGATATTGAGGTGAATCCTTGGTTGTGAATTTGACGCTTGAATCATACAGAGTGATAATCTGTGACGCAAAACCACCCGACACCAAAAATAATTTTTTTTCTTAATGACAGGTTCCATTTTCTTTGAAATTCGAGAAGAAACCTGGTTCTTGGGAAAGCTGGTTCCTTTTTGTCTGCTGAGAACACTTTTGTAGCTGGTTTGGCCTGCTATAATCGAGCAATTAAGGCTGGGTCAGCCTTTATTTCTTTAAACTTTCGAACTGTACTATTTGATACTCACTAAATCTAAATATGAATGCTTCAGCTTTGAAAAATATCCCAAGTTCTACTCCCCACGTTTTTTTCTGTAGAACTCTCTTCTACTGCATCGACATCACGACGATCCCGCTGATCCCCTGACTTAGATTTCTTCCTCGAAAGTATGAATCTTATTTCCCCCCAGCTAATGTACCTGAAGTTGAAGTAAAGTTAGTTGTGCTTGGGTACTTGTGAGGTGGTGGTGATATCTGTACTCACGGAGCAATAGTTCCAGGTGTCTCTCGTACCGATAGTACACGAAGTTCAGCTAACCACAAAAAATCCTTCATTATGTTCGCGAACTGTTCTGGAGTCTGGATGGCTTAGAGCCCGTGAACTCAAAGTCTTGTGGGCTATGATTCACCCTATCATGTATTGGCGGCTACTGCTCAGGAAAATCTTGGATGTGTTAGCTGAGCTCTTCAGAATTTCCCCTCTCCCTTATCTTTCCCCGTTCTTCTCATTCTCCCTCATCTCCCTCTAACGCTCTTGCTTAATTAAGTCGCTCCGCGCAGGACACCAAAAAAAAGCCACAAAATTATCCTCCGCATCGAAAATCCTCTTGAAGATGAGGTTCCGATACTCAATGGGCCGAATCGATACTGAATCTACCCTGACGCGGGTGATCGCAATCTATTACGATCTAGAAATAGTGGTTAGTTTACGAATAAAATCTTTTTAGATGGTGATGTACTCACTGAAGTATGAATAAAAACCCTAGGCCCCCTTGTCTCCTTGCCATAGTGACTAGATAGTCGCTGCACAAAAGGTGTCCTCAATACATCGTGTTTGTCCACCACCTCCTACACGCAGAACAATAGTCGGGTTTTGGTCTAAACTCCAATCTCTTGTGCTAAACAGCGTGCATAAGGTATTGCTAAAGTCGAATTAGTTTGTGTGCTTGTCGAAAATATGATTGGTGTACTCACGTAGCTAGATGAATGAATATTTCTTTCTGCTCTTCGCTCTCAACAAACAGAGTAGCATGTTGGCCACGATATCCCTCGACACTGGCCTTAAGCCCCAGTAAAAAACAAAGGAAAACAAAATCTAGCCATCCTCGCCCGCTCCTCTCCGTTCCTTTCCATTCTCTCGGCCTGTCTTCGGCGTTGTCCTGTACGTCCGGCCTTCTCGAGATCTCTTTTGGGGCCCACCGCACTCGATCTCTGACCACGCGTGTAAACATCATGGATGGTAATCGTTGATCATGCCACCCCGTTGAAGAAGGAAGCACATCGTATAGCCATCTTTCGAGCTGAGCGGCCAGTACATAGAAGCCAGTTCAAGATGTTCGTTTACGGGTGTGGGGCTATCGTGGCATCTCCATGTCGTACAGATGTCTAGAGACTACACCACCAGAATTAGTCACAATCCCTCCTGCTTCTTAATCACAGGTCTGTACGTACATTACTGTACACCCAACAGACTCTCCAGTACAGCCCCTGTGCCTATTGGAGAGTTCATGAGCTGCAGCAGATCTGCGTCACAGCTTCTCGTGCGGTTTCCGAGTGACCGATTGTGTCGGAGAAAAAGGAAGTCTGTGCTGGCTTTTATCCCAAGGTTGAAGAGGAAATGGAAGATAAAGAGGCTTGGATTTGATGATTTTCTGGATGTGCTGATGTTTTGGTGGGGTGGTTTTGCGGTTTGCACAGGAGAAAAATGTGGGTAAGGGTTTTCAGAAAGGGCGCACGCAGCCAGCCACAGGGCATTGCAGTGACTCTACTACCCACACGAACCCGTAGATTTTTTTCTTTCCTTTCTTTTCCCTCTTCTCTCATCAACTCACCATCCATCTACAAAGCCATCACAAGAAAAGTCCCCGCAAACACCAAATTGCACAATCGATACAATGCCGTTCCTCAAAGAAGAAAGAGTAAGAGACCCCCTGCCAGCACCCTTGCAATTGATCAACATCACACACATACCCGCTCGCACCTTCCCGTTTCCTAGCCCCCATCATACGTTGCACAAACTACATCATCTTATCTAGCTGGCCTCGCCTCTAACGTCTTTGCGAAGAAACGCTTCTCGAAAAAGCTAGCCTCACTGATTGAGCGCACTAAGAAGCTCGTGAAGAAACCCTTCGAGAAGGCCGGCCTAGGGAAACCCAAGGCCCGTCAGGCTGCGGCGTTGAAGACTTCTCCTCAGGACAATCGTGGGTCGGCCCGTCAGGCTGCGGCGTTGAAGACTTCTCCTCAGGACAATCGTGGGTCGGCCCATATCTCCGATATTGTGGAGGGCAGCGGTTACGTCATAGGAGGATCAATATTCAACTAACTGTTTGGCAGGTGATCAAGGTAGGCAGACACTTGTGATTTGTTTATTCTCACGATGTGGTGCTCATGTAAGAGTTTGTATTTATTGGGTTACGATTGCTAACACAGTTTTGATGATATAGAGTTCGCACGAGTCGCGTTGATAATCATGAGAGCCGGCGGTAAGTCTTTTCCCTCCTCATTCTAGAGATCCTATCGGATAGCATTGGATTACCATGCCTGCAATTACAAGAGTCGCTGATTTAATCCACCCTCGCCATAGTTCTTGATCCAGTCTTTGTGTTCTTCTGCACATACCCATACCGCTATAACCCCATGGGTCAGGTGTTCGAGCGAGTTAGTAGGTTCACGGAGCATTTTGACTAGATGGTCGTTTTTCTTTTTCGTTTCGTTTCTGAGTAAATAAATCTTCTTTACTTTCTTTTCTTCAATTTTCTACATTGTGGTCTTGTTTCTTTCGCTTGTGACCTTCAGGTTTTTTTTTTTTTTGGTAAGGCTTGGACTGTAAAGGCGTTATGTGCATGCGGTCGATCTTTGATATTACATGTTTGTTTGTCTATAGGGATTGCGGTTTTAGACTTAGTTTTCTTGTAGTTAAGTACTTGAAGCATTACGGAATAGTACAAACGGCAAAAGCATAATATCAGGAGCCTTATATGACCATATGAATCATTACGTTTATTTATAAGATAAAACTTGCGGCGAGAAAATGACTGAATAAAACACGTTCAAAACCGCTTAGATCTCCTTTTTCTTCTCTAGCTCGCTGTTCCTCTACGATCTATGAGCGAAGTATCATTGAACCCATCAAAAACCATCCTCGAAGCGCAAATCAATCCAATACTATCCTTTCCGGGGCCGATCAGGCTTGTCGATGAGCCAGACCGGTCTATATTTGACCATGTCCTCCTCTATTTGAACCACCATCCTGAAGGTGAATGGTGGAGATGCGACTGCCCAGGGTGATGTGAGATACTCAGTGACCTGAGAGCAGCCGTGGCGACAGCCGGTGCGGTTTTGGCACCAGAGGCGGTATCTGATGCGGACACTGCAGAATCGGCCTTTGTTCATGGCCCGTACCGGCCCATGAAAGTGTGGGCCCGGGCGACCGACTGGCCCATATAATACCATGGCCAGTCACAGGAATGTAACATACGGGCCCTCCAAAAGGCGCATCCATTGATGTCGGAGTATAGAGGTAAAAAGGCATTTTGAAAGTAGCGGTGGCGGGCCTAATGTAGTTGATTTAGCTTCTTTTTTTTTTTTATAGAAAATGGATGAAGATACGTGCGCGTATGTTGTAGGCAGCTCACGAACAGCGGCATTCCACGCGCGCGCGGCTCTAATCAATACTGGCCCATATATTACTCTCCTTGCCCGGCCCAAAATAACACGCAGCCCGGTGCAGAAAATCCAAAGCCCAGCCCACCGGCTGTATAGCCCGTATAGCCCGTATAGCCCGTATAGCCCGTATACTTGCACCGGTCGGGGCGTATATGTGCCCGCCCATTACTTAAAAAGCCTGAGAACATAAGGTATTAGTATTAATGTTAGTACGAATTGTAACAAATGCTAAAACAGGTAAGCCGCGGGACGACGCTGGGCAGAAATAGGAAAGGCGGCATGCTCACTTGACGCGTATGCTCAGCGCCACAACGGCCTGTCACGTGCCTGAGAGTGACCTCAGTCTTAAATCTCTCCCGATCCAGCTTCTCCTCCTCCAACACCATCTTCTTTTTCATCTTGTCTTTATAGCGAGGCGTCGCTGTACTGGGCATCAACACCGGGCAGCGTTTCTTTTCAGCTATCACGACTTGATGGAGAGATAGAGCAGCGGCAGCCGGCTTCCTACGTGCCCAGAGCGATATCGTTCGATGGCAGCGCCGTCATCGACGGAGCAGCTGACAGACGACATCAAACGTCGTTCCGGCGTCTGAGGGTGGCAGAGATGCCCGCCCCCGGCGTTACGGCCTCGAACTTGTCGATTGAACAGCAGCAGCCGATGCCTAAATGCACCACGAATGACCGATATTCACTGCCGCCGGTGATCTTTTGCATGTGTTTGGCGTTGCGCGTTATGAGCGGTTATTAAAGGATGGATGTTTTTCATGGAGTCCGTGAATCTCCATGCTCCGGTCCCGAATTCAATCGTTGACCCTCTGGGGTTACTCTATCCACTTCAGCAGCTGCGGGAGTGATGGGTATCCTAAAATTACGAAGACTTACTTTATGACTGGTCGGAGGCATCATAACTTGCATCACCTATTCTGCACTATGTGATGCAGTGGTTTAGGTCCATCACCTGGGAACGAGCCTAGGCCTAGCACTCGTAACGCGAGTCGTACCGCAGCCGGGAGAGGGGACTTTCCCTGTTACATCTCTGGGCTGCGCACTTGCGGCGAGAAGAATATCGCATCGACATCCTTAAAGACTGAGATAGATGGTCAGCTTTGCCTCCGGTCTCATGGGTTGGAGTGGTACCATCTTTCAATCACCTACTCCTTTACCGTCCCTCCTTCTCCTTCTCCTGGGCTGGGTTGCGTAGTGGGATGGGCCAATCTGAACCGTGCAGGAGATGAGGGTTGAGATGCAAAAATGCCGATAGTTTTGTGAAGCTGAGTGTTGTTGAGACATGTCTTCAAGAGCTGTTCTCCCTCAGCCCATCGCACTCTATGCCTCGCGCTGCCGTGTTGGCTTACCTCATTCGTGTACGAACTGATGGGGAGGATTGGCGGGGTGTTGGGGAGGGGGAGGGGGGATAGGCAAGCGGAAGACTCAAAGGAGTACTTCCGGCTTGCCTATCACGCGCTGCCTCATCAGGCGTAGCGGCTACCTCTGGGCCCTGCCAGCCGCCCGTTAAAAGCGAGAAACGAATTTTTACCAACGAGAGGAGATGTCCTAATGGCTAGGAGCTCGGTTCAGTGCCAACAATAATCAGGCTCTATCGTATACAAATAGAAGCTCTGTGCGTCCACTGCATCGGGTGGTCCGGGGTTCGAGTCCGCGCTCTCCTCTCCCTTTTTTATTTTTTTGCTGCAACCTGGAAGGAGAGGGGGGGCCCTGTGGCCACGCCTCGGATCGTTCCGAAACTCCAAGAGTATGATGAAAGCCCCTGTGTATTACATGCAGAGCCGAGAGTATGAGATACATGTAGTCTTGGAAGTCTTACAGGCGAGCCTCCAGCGGTATGAAGTCTTGTCGGTTGTCTCCACCGTAGGATCGCTGGCCATCCAACCCAGCGATGAAGCTTGTAATTACATGCAACGAAGCAGAAGGAAATTTCAACAGATCTAGAGCCCCACCATCAACCAACCGACCAAGGTTGACACATACAGCTAGCCTAAACGTTTAAATTTGAATAAACAACGACAAATGTAGACTTTCGTGTGAGGTGGTTTCCTGAAGCCGAAGTGAAAGACACCCCCCAATGAGCGGCAAAGTACGACTCGACGCCCAATGAACACACTTGTATGCGATGCGTCTCTGTCGTATGCTACATACACAATCTCCGGCCCCTCAGAAGCCCTATTGTAGTCTCATTCATCTAGGTAATACGGTCTCAAGATACCGTCATTATATATCACTCGTCCGAGTGACATTCGATGACGGGGCACCTCAGCTCTCTCCTAGCATTTTGAAGCAAGGGGGGAAGGGAGGTTTAGGGAGTGTAAAGGCTACGAGGGCATGTATGTTCTTTTCTTCTCTTGGTGAGTTGCGTGGCTTTACTTCAAACGGTTGTGACTTACGTCACATGCGCGTGGGTGAACACGTTTTCCCCACGTCACTGAGTAGCACGGTGTTTTTTTTCTTGCTTCTTTCTTCTTCACCTTCTTCACTTTCTTACCTTCTCATCTTCTCACCTTATCACCTTCTCACTTTTACCACCCAATACCGCTTCATCTCACGGCCGTCCAAAATTCATGTCATTGAGTCTCTAATACACATAAGAATACACAACATCTTCATCGACAGCGGTACCCCCCACCTCTTCCTAAACATCACCGTACCTACTGGCTATCTCTCCACCGACTAACCCCCACCTCCAGCCCCCCACCCCCCTAAGTAAAAATGGACCCTCCTACCTCCGCCAGCGCCTCCGCCGCATCCTTCGACAAGCTCCTCTCCATCCTCGCACAGCAGGCGGGCAAATCCGGACCCGCAACCCCCCACGCCCCAAACCCCTACATGCGTCTCCTGCAAGAAATCGCCAGTAATTCACACCCCGCTCCCCCCCGCAGAGAGAAGGATGCAGCTAGCTAACACGGATATGGATATGTGTAGTCCGCGCCCGCAACGCCAGGGCCATGGGGAAGGAGTATGCGGCTGCCGTTGTGGAGGCGGAGCGTGCTGATGCGAGGTATGCGGCGCGGAAGAGAGTGTACTTGAGAGAGCTGGAGTATGAGAAGACCACGTAGGGAAGAGTGGTCGATCTGGGGGAGGGAGGGGTAAAATTTCGGGGACGAAAGGGGGGGGGGGCGTGATATGTTTGATAGAGTGGCCAATGTGGGAGTGAAATGCTTGGGCGGAAAAATGTTTTAAGACCTTGATGTAGAGAGGCTTGAGTTTACTGCTACTGGCGCTGCGGCGGTTTCTTGGGTGTTGGGCTTGTATGTCATAATGTGTCACTCGGGATGCACCGCCACAACCGAGTGATCGCTTCCCTGAGGGGAGGATTGTATGTGGCGTTTTGTGGCGCCCATTCCCCAGATGAAGCCTGAGTTGGAGATCAGGTATGGGTTTGAATAGCAATGACCCTCTGAAAGAGTCGGGGGTTGCATTGTTTGTCTTGGGTACTTCCTGTATGTGGGGTCCCGGGATTATGCTAGGCACATGTACTTCTACTATCGATATACTAATCTATTGTTATATTGCTTTACGGGTTCGTAGATATATAACTAATCATAGCTCTTCCGCTATAGGTAGAAACAGTGTGCCGGATTCTCTTCTTAGTGTCCGGCGCGATGCCACCACGGCGTCATTCCAAATATCATACCCCCTTAATTGGAAGTCTTATCGGATAAATACATTCACTTCAATAAGGCTGAATGTAGATTGCAGAATAGTGCCGTTGGACGGGGCCTATTGACTCTGAGAGAGGTCAAATTCTTATATTTGATTAGTACACAATCCAGAGTCTCCAGCTTGTATGTATTCAACGCTATACAAACATCCATGAATTAGCTAGCAGCTTCTATCAGCCGGTGAGTGGAATAGGTAGAGATGTCTCGGGGAGTCTTCTCCTCTAGAGCGTGTGACCTCACTAACAAGATTAGAACATATAGGGTTTCGTTTCTAAATCACCTAACTCCATAACATGTGTAACGGTAACTACACCCAGAAAAAGAGGCATCATTATACGGCTCTAG